AGAGAGGCTCTGAAAGCTTGTGTTTTCAAATAAACCTGTTGAACTATATTCGGGTGCCGTTCGATTTCCAACTTTGTGATACAAATGGCATGTCCTACTTTTTCCACACAGTCCTCCAGCCTTGGAATTGGGTATGAGTCAGATATGGTCACGGCATTGACTTTTTGATAATCTATGCAGAATCGGTGAGTACCATCAGGTTCGGGAACCAACATGATTGGCAAACGCCAGTCACTTTGACTCAGCTCTATGTCGTCTTCTTGTTGCATCACTTCTGAACCTGTGCTGCTTTGAGAGGATCAAGCCTGTAGGGGTGTTGTTTTATCGGAACAGCTTTCCCTATGTCAATCTCATGTACTATGGTATTAGTCGTCCCCATTCTATTTCTACATATATCCTCATAGCACTGCAACAAGTCTTTCAATTCAGTTCTCTGTTCCTAGGCCAGATAACTTACTACCCTATCCCATTCCTTAAGGACTTCCTCATTATTCAATTTATGCTGCGGCACATCAAAATCCAACTCATCTACATGTGAATCCTCACTCTGGGTGGTAGTAACTAATACCTGTTTCTCCGGTTCTCTTTTCTTGTCATAGTAAGGTTTCAGCAAGTTCAAATGACATACCCGATAGGTTTTTTTCCTGTCTGGCATCTTTACCACATAATTCACCTGACTCAACTTCTCAATATGATAGGGACCACTAAACCTTGCTTTGAAGGGATCTCCTACCACTGGGAACAGCACCAATACTTTATCCCCATGGGCAAACGTAGCAATTTTAGATTTTTTATCTGCTTCTTGCTTTGTTATGTGCTGTGCCACCTTCAAATATTGTCTAGCTAATGCACCTACTCTATTTAACCTTTCTCTCACCTCAGATGCATAATCCAACTGTGAGATCTCTGACTTCGAACCTATCAATCTTTCCTTAACTAATTTTAAAGGCCCTCTTACTTTGTGTCCGCAAATCAATTCAAATGGAGTAAACTGAGTTAATTCATTTGGAGCATCTCTAATAGCAAATAATACAGATGCCATATGTTTATCCCAATCATTTGGGTAATCCTGGCAATAAGCCCTCAGCATTGTCTTTAGGGTCTGATGCCACCTTTCCAATGCTCCCTGGGATTCAGAATGATATGCACTTGATTT